GAGATGTGACCGCGGGACGTGGCTACGACAAACGAAAACTTCAGTTATACTCGATGAATAACATTAAAACTATACACATATTGAGAAAAACCTCATTAAAACTATACACATTCGCCTAATATTTCAGGGCAACTATAGAACTTCCTGCCAAACGTCTCTGGAGCTGTAGACTCTTCCAGTCTACATTAAAGGCCGCAATAGCATCGTTCAGGTATCCCAAAGTCTCCATCAGCTTTGGCACACCCGCTGTCATAGCTTGCTTTGGAAGATGAGCTGTTGGTGTAGCTTATCGGCATTACTCTGTAGAGATCAAGCAAACAAACTTGGAAGTTAACTAACAAAAAACTAAAACAGATACGACCACATAATAACTTTGCAGCTAAAAACAAAACAACAAAAACAAGCTTTCCAAACAAATATTTCTTACTCGCTAAACAACAAAATAACAAAAAAGGTAAATCTTGAAATAAAGAAAAAATCGAAATATTTTTTCTTACTTGCTCATGGAATCTGTGAAAAAAGTATTTACTTAGATCTGTTAAAAAAACAGTAAAGCAAAAGGACAAAAGAACAAAAGAACAATTTTAAAGGACAAACCAATAAACAATAAGATACGGACTAAACAGAGAATGTAATGGCGAATAACTCACAGATCTGGAGAGATAACTAAGAACGATGAAGACGCCGGCTGAGATCTGCAGCAACAATATATGTAGTGATATATATGAAACAACATATGCATCGGAAACAGAAAAGAAGAGATGGGGAGCGCCGGGAAAGGCTTACTGCGAGAGAGAGTCGCGGCGAGAGAGACCAGAGTGCAGCGCCGTTTTACAGTGATCTAGGTTTTTTTATTTATGGTAACGACTGGTAAGTTTCTTTATATACTATGTTAAAAATTCCGGTTAGGTTAATTATTCTGGTTTGACTAGACTTCGATCCGTAGTCTGCTGAGCAAACTGATAAAGAAGTCTGCAGCCCTAGTTTAAAACTTTTCACTTTTTATGTTTATCCTAGATGGTTAAAAATGATTCATATTTATTAAATTATAATTTTTATAGATCATACTTGTTGACATTTGATTTATAGAAACAAACTTCAGTTTACATTATTTTTATATAATTTTTAAATTTAAAAATAAGATTTAATAATATAGTAGACTTCTTTATCAGTCTGCTGAGAAGACTGATAAAGAAGTCTGCAGCCATAGTTTAAAACTTTTCCCTTTTTATGTTTATCCTAGATAGTTAAAAATGATTCATATTTATTAAATTATAATTTTTCTAGATCATACTTGTTGACATTTGATTTATAGAAACAAACTTCAGTTTACATTATTTTTATATAATTTTTAAATTTAAAAATAAGATTTAATAATATAGTAGACTTCTTTATCAGTCTGTTGAGCAGACTTCATTAGTATTGGCAGACTTCGAAAGGTTATAATCGTAATTGAGACATTCGTTTTATTGTTTACTCATGTAGGAGATAATGGTAATTTCTTTACCCTTCTGACCTATTTTTGCAATAGGTTGAATTTGGGGTATACTTTTGCATTTGGAATCAAATTGTGGCCTATTTTAATTTTAGCAATTCCCCCGAAAATAAAATACTGAATTCCATATATTAATTGGGTTCTTTTGAGTATTTTAAGAATCATCTCTTATAAACTTTCTAAAATTTTCTTGGTTAAACTGCAAACATATAACTAAAATAAATGATACACTATATGTCTCACTATTTCACAAAGTTTATCTGAACTTCACATTTTGAGCACTCTTCTTTTGCAGTTTATTCATCACTCCAAATCTATTTCATTTACCAAATTTTAATTTTTTTTCAACAAAAACGAAAAAGAAAAAGCAAACGTGAATATAGCAAGATCCAAAGAAACGGCAATGGTGTGGTCAAACCACTCTGGGGAAAAACTCAATGCACATGGATTCAAAATAGATAAAACAATCCAATACATTTTACTTCCTTTATATAAGTCTCATCTTCGTCCGTATTAGCTCTGCAAAACACTTGTTTTCATCGTTCTCTTTCTCTCTCTCTCTCTACATCTCTCTTCAAAAAAATGAAAATGAAAATTTCTCTTCCGTTGATCTCAGCCATTGCCATAATGCTAATGCTCCTCCTTGCCACAGGTTCATGCTTTCTAAACAAAGACTCATGTCAATATTTAATCATCTGCATATTATATTAATTTGTTGAGTAATCTATATATGACCCATATTTTGCATGTTATTCGTCATTTATTTCGGTTATAGTTATATATATATATATATATATATATATGCATGTGGATATGCCTAAGTTGTAGTACATTATGATTATTGTGTATCTCTAGGGATGGGTCCGGTCACGGTGGAGGCACGTATGTGTGAATCGAGTAGCCAATTGTTCAATGGGCCGTGTCTAAGCACAACCAATTGCGCCAATATTTGCCACAATGAAGGTTTTACAGATGGTGACTGCCAAGGATTCCGCCGTCGCTGCATCTGCACCAGACCATGTTGATCGATGATCTATTATATACATAATGAATACGCTCAACATATAACATTCTTAATCATCTTCTATCATTTTCCTGTTGTTTACTTTTAATATCTCATCGTTTGTCTTTAAAATAACAATAAGGGATACTTTATTTAAAAAATAACAATAGCAATAGGGCATCTAAATCTTGAAAGCCCTTTAGTTTGTGTTTTCATTTTTTTTTATCATCTTCCGATGTCAAATAATACATTCTAGTAAGTGACTTATATATTTAGCGGATAACTTAGTACTATAGAAAACAAATATGTGACTTATACTAAGTTAAGATCATCTCATTCACGGTATGAAATTTTTAACACTCTTCTCGGAATGATAATAATTTCAGTCAATAAATAATATACATGATACACACTAAGTTATCATCTGATTGTAGTAGGCTAGGCAAATATACTGAACCAAATCGAACTTTGCTAATTTGGTTTCAGTTTGAAACTAAAAAAAAAAAAATTTGGCAATTGGTTTGGTTTAGCAAGAAGAAACCAATCGGCTTACCAAAGCGAACTTTTTTAAAATTTTCGTAATTTCTGACCTTGTCGGAATTCTTATAATTTTTGGTTCAATCCGAATTTCTGAACCAAATTGAACTTTCTAAACATATCAAAATTGAATAAATATCCGAAATATTTAAAAAATGTACCAAAAAGTAATGAAAATTTGAAGATTTGGCTGAGAAAACCCGAATTGGATTGACAAGAAAAAGAAAAAAGCCGAATTGGATATTGTTTTCGGTTTCTATCTGGCACAAATAAATTTAAATAAACCAAAACCAATATTCCGATAGCCGAACCGGACGGCTATTTCGTTTTAGTTCGGAATCTTATTCTCCAAAGCCTAAACCAACCGAAGTTCTGGTATCCCTAACCGTTGGGAACCAAAGTCAATGATTGCTTTTAGTAGGTTGAAAAACTAATCTTGCATCTTTGAGGGGAAAAAAAAGATAGTTGAAAAAGTCGTTTTTACAGTACTTTACTTTTACCTTAAAGTTCTTACCTGTTACAGCTAAACTATTCGGAAAATAGCCGGTTAAAATCGAAGGAATGCAGGAAAACAAACTCGCTTGTTTGTTCAGAACTTTTCGCCTCGGCGTTATTATCTAGAAACAGTGTGGACGAAGAAGAAGAAGACGAGGTAGTAGAAGAACTGAAAAAGAAGTAGAGACATTCGGGATTTAGGGTTTTGTTTACTGTTTCTTCTTCTCCACTTGCTATGGCTTCCGTGCTGCTACTTCTTCTGGTGTTCGTCTTTGATCTCATAGCTTTTGGTCTTGCTGTTGCTGCAGAGCAGCGAAGAACCACCGTCAGTTTCTCTCTCTCTCCCTCTCTCTTCTCTGGTTTAGTCACTATCTCTGATTTCTCCAACATTTCTAGTAATTTCGGTCTGATTTTTCGCAGTTTCATTTCGCTGGATCTATCTGCTTAGGATTGCTTCAATTTGGGTTTTCTGAAAGTTTCGGGTTTTGTGAAATTTAAGTAGTTTCGTTGTAAGTTTAATAGAAAGCTGAAAACTTTAGAGGGAAATTGAGAAGATTAAAGAAGATAAGATGAAAATCAATCGAAACCCATTAGATATGATTCGTAAAAAAGTTGAGATTTTTCCTATTCTGGGTTGCACTGTGTTGTTCCTTCCTGATTTTGGTCTGTGTTGCTTTTGTTAACAGTGGCAAGTTTTTAATGAATCAAGAGATTCAACCTACTGTGTGTATGAGAAAGATATCGCAACGGGTCTCGGAATCGGTTCTTTCTTGATCTTGTTAGCGAGCCAGCTCTTCATTATGGTGGCGAGCCGATGTTTATGCTGTGGAAGAGCCTTGACACCAAGTGGGTCTAGATCCTGTGCCATTTTTCTCTTCATCACCACCTGGTAAAATGCTCTTCTCTTCTTAGATTACATTGTTCTAATGGCTTACAATGTGGGGAAACTTCACTTTCCATCTACTCTAACTGCAGAAAAATTTGTTTTAACTTCAAAAACGATATCTTGTTGTGAACTTTGCTGCTATAAATGTCGTATTAATGGGTTAGGATGATTGTTTGCAGGGTCTTCTTCTTCATAGCAGAAGTGTGCTTACTTGCGGGATCAGTGCGAAACGCTTACCATACAAAGTACCGTGTCTACTTTGGAAACTCCGCTCCTTCTTGTCGGTCATTGAGGAAAGGCGTGTTTGGGGCTGGAGCTGCATTCATAGTGCTCACAGGGATTGTCTCCGAGCTTTACTACGTGAGCCTTACAAGGGCTAAAGATTTTCAGGCTCCTAGAGATCCTGGTATTAGAATGAGTAGCTTGTAGAAGTTACAGACACCCTCATAGTTAATTTAGAATTAGAAACCTTTTTGGCCATTATTGTTGTGATCATATTGTATGAGTTAGTGTGGTTCTTGTTTGTATATGAGAAACAGATTCAAGTACTAAGCTGTTGTAGTTCATGTCTTGGGTACTTCGTGTTCTTGGAGTTTCTATCTTGTGTGGTTATGGACCAGTTAGCCTCTGGTCGCAAGAACTCGAGTCTGGTGTCTGCAAATTAGCCTGGTGAATTAATATTTTGCCACTGATGAATAACTTAAAAAATCGAACTTTTCATCATTCATGTGCACATCCACATTGCCTACATATGCACAAGTAGTTGCATTCAGAAATCAGACCTTGTGTGCTGCGTTTGCGATTAGCAAAATGTAAAAGACGAATTTACCCCTGACCTTGGCAACAAATAACTGAGACAAAACCAGACTTCTGATGTCACAGAAACTACACATTGTCTATTTGTACGCTCCCCACAATGGCAGATAGATCAGCAAATATGTATGTTCACAAGACACAGACAGATGTGTCCTTTGTCTCTCTCTTGTGGAAGTTTGATTTCCTTGTTTTTTTTTTGTTAACTAACTAAAATGTAAAGAAGAAGAGTTACAAAAGATGCAAGAATCAGACATGAGTTGATGAATGATGCTTCCTTCTTCAATCCTAAGCTTCTTACTCTCTCTGTTCCAGAGATGAACAGCAAAGCTATGTTTACGTAAATGCGTAAGCCTCTTCCGTGACCAATTCGCCTCGCTCTCGTTTGCTGGTGCTCTGTAAAATCCTCTGATTCTAGTCCAATCCACCGGATAAAACGCAGATGGTGGAAGAACAGAGAATCCCAAATCCGAGGAAGATGAAGAAATGTTGATTCTTCCGACGACTCTTGACACTAAGTAGGGACCGTTGTGACCCCATTTGTTACCATTGAAGGTTCTTGAGAATTCGTCGATGAACCTTTTGAGCAATGGATGGTTCTTGTCAAAGATGAGCACCGCAGTGTTGAGCCTGCTCCATTTTCTTGTAATGGAATCAACTGATTGTGCTCCGATTACGTTGTGGAGATGGCTGAGAGGTTTGATGATTATAACATCTGTGTCTAAGTAGATTCCGCCGAATTTGTAGAGCAAGACTAATCTTAGAAGGTTGGAGAGGTTTTGCTCTAATGGAATCACTCCTGGACTGAACATTCCTTTCTTCAATCTCTCAAACCATTTCTCTGCCGATGTATCTTTGAAGATGTAAGCGAAATCAGGTTTTATTGGAAGCACTTTAAGCCCTTTATCTGTAAAGGGTTTCAAGATTAGTGTTCCTCTGTCACAGTCAAGTGAGTTTGAGACCAAGATTAAACAGCTATTTGGGTGAGATTTGAAGAGGCTCTCTATGGTGAATCGTTCTCGATCACCGAAAGATTCGATGGAAGAGATCCAAGTCATGAAGAACAGTGACTCGCATGAGGATGTGGACAAGAAAGACTTGATCCTCGTCTTGAATCTCGGTCTTGATCTACCTTGTGGCCGCTGTGTAACGGGCGATGTTAACTCGATTCTTCTCTTTAATCTCCTCTTCCTTCTCTCTGTCCTCGTGGACGAAACGTTCTGCTTTTGTACGTACCCTAAAGAGGTTTCTTTCACTACAAGCAACAGTGAAGTATCTGAGTCAGATGATGATGTTGCTGTTGATGATGATGAATGATGATGAAGAATCTGGTGATGAGTAAGTGATATAGTGGATTTGATTGGTGGGATTGGATCAAGATGAAGAGAGAAGACAGAGAAGCTGTTGTAGATTAAGAGAAGCATGATAAGAAGACCTAGAAGAGACATGGGAAGACAACAAACGAAGGAGACGATCAATCTTTTCAAGCTCTGCATAGCTTGTTCTGTTCTTTTGCTCTGTTCCATCTTTTGGTTTTTCAAACAATATTTTGCAAAAGACAGAGACTTGTTCTGTTCTGTAAGAGATTTTGCTTTTTTAGGACAAAAGGGTGTGTATGTGATGATTATTGTATTGTTGAGTAAGATAATAAACAAATAATTTTTAATTTGTTTTGGCATACAGATATATAGTTATCATGTATATAAATATCAATTAGAAATTGGCGAAAGAGAAAGATCACCAATACAAAATAGAGTATATAATAATAAGTGCAGTGAATTAGTAAACTATCATCTAAAGAGCGTGCTTAGAAATTCTAGTTGACATTTCAAATATCTATAACTAATGAAAATGCAATGTTAGGTTACAGATAGTTTATTTAGCATCAGTAGATATTTCAAATTAGAACCAAAGTTCGATAGTTACTGGGTTTTTTTACTTATGAATCAGTTAAGGCGACCAAAAAAATTTATAAATCTTGTTTGATTGTTTCTAATGACACATACGAGATAGTGTCCAGGCTTGGTCATGACTTAATCGGTTTCTTGTGCAATTTTGTGCTTCGTTTTTGTTAACAGCGGTTTCTTGTGCAATTGAAACACTATTATTGACTAACCATATGAAATAGAATGGTTGTTAGAATGTATATTTCTAGTGTGATTAACTTGTAATAATATAATAAAGATTTTATTCGTATACAACATGATGATTGAGATTTTTCGGATTTAATGATAAGTCAACTCTTGTTTGATCGGTGTTATGGGTATTTGTTTTACTAGTCTTCTCTACTGTTTTGAATAACCAAGAGGGTCTACTAAGTTAATTCAATCGTGAGGTTGAAAAAAAAATTAAGTGTTTCAATGAAAATAACAATACATAGATCAAATTCAAGACTTGCATAAGACTCGGTTTTTAATCTCATGAAAGGCAATACACTACTAATCAGGAAAAGTTGACATAAACAACGAATACAAAAATAATTTAGGAAAAACAAATTGCTCTAAACATTTCGAGTACAAACGAAAAAGATCAAGAAACGAACCAATGAGCAGTCTTTAGAAGAATGATGATGAAAACACTGACACTCTGAGACATAACCCATCATAATCAAAGAAGACCTCTCCTTCTCTTGTAATCACTAACAGTCAACGTAAGCCCATGTCTCTTACCATCATTCTCAGCAACTCTGCATCCCACTGTTGCTTCTGTCACCTGTTTCCTCGCCATGAACGCTTTCTGTACTCCTTGAGGTCCTCCATACTTCTGCAACGCCGTCAGCGACAACGGCAACTCGAAGTTATGAAGCAGATTGTGTTCTGCGCCTTGACCTATTGGAGCTCTTGTGTCAATAAGCTTCCCTGCGTCTGCAGCCGCTTCTAAAGCTGCTTCTGTAGCTTCTACACCGTTCTCTCCTGCTGCTGCTCCATTGGTCTCAACCGCTGCTGCAGCAGTTGCTTCAGTATCTCCTCCTTCTTTCCTTTTCCCGTTGTAGTAGTTCGATGATCGTGTCCATCTCCTTGAAAACGGATCGTATCCAGCTTCTCCGGCCTTGAGACTAGCTGTGATTGATTTCACCTCGGATGCGTTCTTGAAATTCTCGGCTCTGTTCTTCTTGTTCATCTCGGCGAGCTTGAGCGCTTTTTTATCTACCTCTTTCTTTTCCCGTGATGCCTCTAGCTGTTTGATCTTTGCTTTGATCCTCTCTACACCTGCTTCATCGTTTTTGATCTGTGCAACTTCCAACTCTTTTCTAAGCCGATCTTTCTCGGCCGCAATATTCATTGGCCTGACCGAGGCAGATTTCTTCTCCTGCAACATCTGCTTGACGGTTTCCGCCGAGTAAACAAAACTGTTTATTCTTTTGATCGCTTCCTTCTTCTCTGATATATCTTGCTTTGTGGGCATGCGACCATTTGTTCGCTCCACCTCTCTGATCCATTGCCTATACTCTTCTTCCAACGGATACCCATCTGAGATCATTGCCATTTGCCATCGAGCAGCCGAGCTTTCATGTCCCCATATGCAGTTAAGGTACTTGTGTGTAGTTTTGTTCTCTAGCTTGTATGTCTTGTCTGGATCGGTTGCATCTACATTCTTCACCATGCAGAGTCTATAGATTGGCCCATTCTTGGACCTTCCTATCCCGACCCTCACAAAGCAACCAACGATAAGCTCTTCAAAGAAAGGCTCCATTAGCCATTTGGCAAGCTTAGACCTCCTGATAGTAATATCCTTAATATCCTCAAACGTAGGCACATCTGACCTGTCATCATCACTGTCTACCATTCCTCCATTGGAGCCTTCGTCGTCACTCTGAGACCTACTATCACTATCACTTTGGCTTGAGTTACTCAAATTTGAGGAAGCTAACGGTTTCCTCTTCATCGATGAGAAATCCCTGCTACCTGAACCACCTTTTGATGCATCTCTCAGTTTCCTGAGAGACGCAGGCTCTTGCTGTTTCATACGCTTTGCTCTCAACTCGTTAAGAGCATCATCCTTCGCAGCTGCTCTATCTGCAGATCTCGCAGATGAACGCACACCACGAGAGGCAGGAAGAGGCTGTGTCTCCTTTTTCGAAACAGGGGTCTTCTCTTTTTCCCTCTTCGATCTAAGCTTCTCAGTGAAGTTCTTATCACCTTTCTTATCAGCACGTTCAGCGAGAATCATCTCTCTCTGAAACTCAGTCATTCCAGCAAGCTTTTGCCTATCTTCCTCGTTCTTGTAAAGGTCATCACCGAAATCTGATTCCTCGCTGCTGTCACCTTCACGATCAGATGGGCCATCACCGTAACCGGCTTCATCACGAGCAGCACGGTCTTCTCTCTCTGCCTCTAATCTCTTCTTCAAAGGCACTTGAGATCCTGAAGGTTTCCTACTTGCGTAGCCACGTTCTTCATCAGAATCGTCCCTTGAATCACTGCCACCATCAGAGTAAGAACCCTCACGTCTCCTTGATGATGGAGGATGAGAATGGCGGCTCCTTCCTGGTGCATTTGTTCTCCCAGCAGCTTCCAAAAGCAAGTCATCTAAATCAACCATTGCTTCTGAAGAGGCTCAAGAGAGAGAAAGAGAGAGATTCCTTTTAACAATTTAAATCGGTTTTGCACTATCACCTGAAAATTATTAGAAGTTGAGAGTTAGAGCAAGCAAAAGATTGATCATAGATTGGAAGTTGAATGAATAACAAAAAAGAACTTAAGAACCAATAGCTTTAACGCAAGAAACCACAAAAGAGTGAGACTTTGAGCAGGCAGAGCACAAAAGAGACAAATTTGAGAGAGGTAACAAAAGGGTTAAGACAAATTCTCCCCAATTAAGTTCTTTTGTCAAATCCTAACTATTTCTCCTCGTGTTCTGCTTGTTCCATGTCCCAATCCAATTTGAAATAGAATTCACTTAAGAAGAGAGAAGCAATAGAGAAAATTTTCAATCTTTGATTGGATATTAGAGAAAGCAATGAATCGAATTTGTCTTAAAAGCCAATCGTGGTTTTGCGAAACCTATCCGAGCTCTGAGCTCAAATCTGGCGAATTCAGAGCCGGAAAAGGATCGATCTCTCTTATGGATATCAAATTCGATTTGAATAAGCAAGTCCGGTCGAATCCGAGAGGTAGAAGCCGCCGCTTATGGTTCGCGGCGGAGTAAGGAAACAAAAAAAGAGAGAAATAAAGAAAAAGTGAGAAGTTTAGAGGGAACTCACTTGAGACGAACTGAAGAAATCGCCGGAAACTTGTTGCAGAGATCGACCGGCGGCGAAAGTAGAAGAATTGAAAGTACTGTTATTGTCGATTGTCGAGGAAGGAGATGAAACTCGACGAGAACGGAACAAGAAAACGAGAAAAATAAGGAAAAAAAATAAAAGTTTATTATTTATGACGAAAACCCTTAGTTGTTCAGAATATTGCAAAACATCATAGAAAAAAGTGGGCTCAAGATCCACAAACATCAACTTGTAATTTATTGTGTAAAAATTCGATTTTTAAAATCTTTACCATTGAAAGAAATAGCAACAGTTTTCTTTTGGCCTCTAACAATACTACTTTTGGTAATTTGACTAATATCAGATACCACGTTTTAAGTGATTTGTCAACACTTCAAAAGTAGTAATGTCTTTGCCGTTTCCGTGTGTGTGTTAGAGGAACAAGTAATGGTTTGCCAGTTTATGAAGTTGTGGTTTATGGATTATGGGGTTATGAGAAGTGTTATCCTCTTGGTTTGGAAGGAAGTTGATTGTCGATGGTTGGCCGAGGGCTCTTTCGACAAGTCTTTCTCACATAATTTCCAAATGTTAAGAAGATTGGTAGCTTTGAAGTTTGTGAATTCGTTTAATTCTCTTATTAGATGCTGGTTTTGAATTTCTAAATTTCTGTTTTAAAAAGTTCTGCAGTGTTGTTTTAGTGTCTTTGCTTCTTTTTTTATAGGATTTGGTTTCACAGAGATTTTGTTTTCCTGAGACTTTATTTATGGAAATATTTAATTTTTCATCCGATTTTGTTTCTCGGGCGTTTGCTTCATTTGTTTGGGCATTTGTGTTCCTGTAAAATTCAAAATTTTCAATAAAAATCTATATGACCAGAAAATCTATATGACCAGAAAAAAGTAGTGATTTATCAACAGAAGAAAGCAGCAAGATTAATAGCTCTCACATCTTTTTTGTTTTTGTTTTTGTTCTATCTTTGTATGACAAAAGTACAAAAAAATGGAGCCTGAATTATATAAACCTAAGCCCAACCATAGAAGCAAAACCTCTAAAGAACTAATAAACTCTATATTTGTTGTAGTGTCTCTATACATTGTGTCTCTATATCTCTACGTATATTGGAACAAAACCAAGTTTTGCATAAGCTTTACACTGAAAGGTCTTTTTTTTCTTCAGATCTGAATCTGATCTGTGGCAATTTGCATGACTCGATAACTGCCATCACTGTTTTATGATTCTCTGGAGGGATCATGTTCAGTTCAGTCACTTCAGTGTTGTATGAAAAGCTTGAACCACAACATAGTAAGGAACAAACATACACAAGGTATTTTTGGTATAAAATAGTTCGTGTTGTAGCAAAGAAGAAATAAACTAACATTAATATATAAATAACTGCCTAAGCATTTTATATTGACCGCATAGCGCAGTGGATTAGCGCGTCTGACTTCGGATCAGAAGGTCGTGGGTTCGACTCCCACTGTGATCGTTTTTGGTTTTTTTTTTGTCAATTTCTTCCCAAACCGGGTTAGGGTATAAAGATTCAAAGATGTGCCCAATTTTATTTATTCCACAGTTCTTAGAGTGAAAACTATCGGGAAGGAGGAAGAAAGAAATCGGGAAAAATGGCTTCTTCTTCTACTTCTCTCAAGAGACGAGAGCAACCAATGTCTCGAGATGGAGATCAGCTTATCATTACTCCTTTAGGCGCCGGGAGCGAAGTGGTCGTTCTTGTGTTTACATGTCCTTTAGAGGCAAAACGATTCTGGTCAGTCTCCGTCGAATTTCTTCGCTTTTGTCTAATTTAACCCAAACTGTAAAAGTGTTTGATTTTGGTGTTGGGAATGTCTTATTTTGTGTTTTGTGCAGTTTGATTGTGGGATTCATCCTGCGTACTCGGGAATGGCTGCGTTGCCTTACTTTGATGAGATTGATCCTTCCACCATTGATGTCCTCTTGATTACTCAGTATGTTTACTTCTTCTTGCTCTTTAGCTAATTGATATTTGCATAGAATGATAGCTGGAAGCTGATTTTAGCATCTAAAGAGATATATTGGGAGGCTTATAGAGCAAAATCTTCAGAATTTTGAGCTTCTTTATACAAAGACTAAGGCATGATGTGCAGAGGAAACCTGTCTTGGATAAGGATTGTATGATTGGTGTTGATATGGATTAGTTCAAGCTTTTAGAAGGGTGGAGTTTGTTCTTTGTGTCTGTTTGTCTATGGGAAGAAGTTGGTTTTTTTTGTTGTTCTTTTTGGTGAGAGGTTTCTTAGTTTAAGGTAACAAAACTATGTGTTGATGCTTTCTGTTGCAGTTTTCATTTGGATCATGCAGCATCCCTACCTTATTTTCTGGAGAGGGTTTGTTTCTCTTACCGAATGCTTTGGTTATTAATGCCTTTAAACATTATATGGAACTAACACAAGTTAGTAACCTTTGATTAGACAACATTCAAAGGGCGAGTTTTCATGACACATGCCACAAAGGCTATCTACAAGCTGCTACTTACAGATTATGTAAAAGTGAGCAAAGTGTCAGTGGAAGACATGCTGTTCGACGAAAATGACATCAACAAATCCATGGATAAAATTGAGGTTTGTACTGCAACTGCATCATATTACGACTTGTTCCCTTGCTTTTTGTTTAGCCTATTATTTTGCAATTGGAAATGATGTTTCTGTCACGTACGCATGATGTAAAAAACATGATATATTTTTTCGTTTCTCGTTTTCTCGATGTAGTTTTTTCCTTCTTAATAGAAGTTGAACTCAAGTAGTGTGCTTGAAGTTTACTATTTAGCATATAACAAAGGATCAGTCTTTTAGTCTTCTTTGAAATCATTGATAAAATATATGAATCTTGTTCTCGAAACATCTGGTTCAGACAAAGAACACTGGTATCATATGATTATGTAAGTGCCTTGATCACTTCATTGAGTTAAGGTTAGGTCCAAAGGGTTTTCAGTCGGCTTCAAGACACTGATCAGTTAAGATTTTTGTTTGATTCCTCTCTAGGTAATTGATTTCCATCAAACGGTTGAAGTGAATGGCATAAAGTTCTGGTGCTACACGGCAGGGCCATGTTTTGGGTGCAGCCATGTTCATGGTGGATGTAGCTGGTCTCCGAATCCTCTACACAGGAGACTATTCCCGTGAAGAAGACCGTCATCTAAGAGCAGCTGAGCTTCCTCAGTTCTCCCCTGACATATGCATCATTGAATCCACTTCCGGTGTCCAGCTTCATCAGTCTCGTCACATCCGGGAGAAACGCTTCACTGAAGTAATCCATACCACAGTTAAACAGGGCGGGCGTGTCCTGATCCCAGCTTTTGCACTCGGCCGTGCACAGGAACTTCTCTTGATTTTAGATGAATACTGGGCCAACCACCCGGATCTTCACCATATCCCGATCTCCTATGCATCACCGCTCGCCAAAAAGTGTATGGCCGTTTACCAAACCTACATTTTATCTATGAATGACAGAATCCGCAACCAGTTTGCAAATTCTAATCCGTTTGTGTTCAAGCACATCTCTGCGTTGAATAGCATTGATGATTTCAGAGATGTTGGTCCATCTGTGGTTATGGCTAGTCCTGGAGGTCTTCAAAGCGGTTTCTCGAGGCAACTCTTTGACATCTGGTGTTCAGATAAGAAAAACGCTTGTATCATCCCTGGTTATATGGTGGAAGGTACACTGGGGAAAACGATAATCAATGAACCGAAGGAGGTGACTCTTATGAACGGTCTCACTGCTCCTCTCAACATGCAAGTGCACTACATCTCGTTCTCTGCTCACGCAGACTATGCGCAGACGAGCACTTTCTTGAAAGAGCTCATGCCTCCAAACATCATCCTTGTTCATGGTGAAGCTAACGAGATGATGAGGCTCAAACAGAAACTCTTTACGGAGTTTCCTGATGGAAACACAAAGATCATGAATCCGAAGAACTGTGAGTCCATTGAAATGTACTTCAACTCTGAGAAAATGGCGAAAACCATTGGGAGATTGGCGGAAAAGACACCTGATGCTGGCGATACAGTGAGTGGGGATTCTGGTGAAGAAAGGCTTCACTTATCAGATAATGGCACCTGATGATCTCCATGTTTTCTCACAGCTATTAACAGCAACTGTTACTCCAGCGGATCACTATCCCATTCTCAGGGAGCTTTTCGGTGTGATAACACATCGCCTCGAGAAGATTTTCGAGAGTGTGGAATCATCAATAGATGAGGAAACCGGGCTTCCAGCACTGAAAGTACACGAAAGAGTAACAGTGAAACAAGAGTCAGAGAAGCACATCTCGCTTCAGTGGTCATCAGATCCGATAAGCGACATGGTTTCAGACTCCATTGTAGCTCTGGTTCTCAACATCAGCCGGGAAGTCCCCAAGATCGTTGTGGAGGAAGAAGATGCTGTGAAATCTGAGAAAGAGAACGGGAAGAAAGTTGAGAAAGTGATATACGCGCTTCTTGTGTCACTCTTTGGGGATGTGAAACTAGGAGAGGACGGGAAACTGGTGATTAGTGTCGATGGCAATGTCGCTCAGCTTGATAAAGAGAGTGGGGATGTAGAGAGTGAGCATGGAGGTCTTAAGGAAAGAGTAAGATTAGCTTTTCAACGGATTCAAAGTGCTGTGAAACCAATCCCTCTCTCTGCGGATTAAAGTAGTAGTTGAGGTTTTTAATCATCATAGAGTTTTGTCATCAACCCGTTTCCAAGTTTACTAATTACGATGATTAAGTCAAATGGATGTTGTTAAGAATGTGTTTTATGAAACTTTGCTGCTTCTGTAAGTTTATTGTGATGATGATTAGTACAATGGATTTTATTATGAAGGTGTTGTTAATTACCTATCAACATTTAATTTCAGTTTTATACGATTTTGATTTTGACGTTAGTAGATTGCTTTTTTTCTTGGTTTCAAATGTTTATTTGGATGCTCATATCACTAATTTAGCTATGCTTCGTACATTCTTTCTAAATAACGCCGGCACATCATACACATATAACTTGTGAATAATTGAATTAGAACACTAGCCTCTAAAATCGAAATTCTAACATCATTGACACAAGTTTTTAGTCTCTGTTTACTTTTTCTACATGTATATATATATATACCATTACTTGATTTATATGTGTCCATTGTAGCCAAAAATTTTGGCTATGGTTGATTTTATTTTTTGGGCTTTCAACAACTCATTCAAGAAGCTCACCTACGTGTAAAATTGAAGTTGCATGGAGTAGACATAGCTGAGGCAGAGAGGGAGAGTTTAAAGCTAAAGAAGAAAATATTTTTTAAAAAAAATAAAAAAAAGAAGAAAATATTTTTTTAAAAATAAAAAAAAAAAGAAGAAAAGAAAAATGTCGTAGTTAGCGAGAATATGTATGGCTAATGAATCTTTTGAAGAAATGTTTTTACAATACATGCAGATACATATCCAAAGGCAATGTCAAGCTAAGAAAAAAAACATAATGTCTATATTTGAGTATGTTACCGAGTTTTTGATTATTGTTATGCGGTGTGCTATGTAGAAGCTCAGTCAAATCAAGAGATGTTATACACAACTGGCTATACACAACTGGCTTCAGAGCCAAATCGAGTACAGATAGAAAATAACGGAACTGATGATCCATTAGAGAATAAAGTTTATCAACAGAAAAGTATTATCAATTCATTTGTTATATATACTAGATAAATACTTATAGATAAGTACCTGCAATATGCAAATATGTAGATCAATAGTTTTTTTTAATTTGTGAAAGAAACGAAAATTAAAAAATTTTAAAAAATATTACATTACCTGTAAAAAATATATAAAACATTAATTTAAAAACAAAGCTTTTTGATGGAATAAATATATATAAAATATAACTAATGAACTTTTAATTTGTTTGGTGTGTAATTGTCATATATTACCATAGATGCATCAAGAACTCTATTTCTCTCATTTTTCTAGTGCTTACATCAAGTGTTTAGTGAAAGTTGATATGCACATGATTTGCAGTTTTGCACAAATTGTTTTCAACCTCTTGTAATATCCATAATAGAAATTATGAAAGTGACGTAAACAATCTCTTCGAATGGAAGTCAACTTCATTTGTATTCCATAAAGTTCTATGCCACAAAAACAAAAGTTACAAGGTCAAACTAATTTGCTGAGATTATGTTTAATGGTATATATATATATATTAATATATATTAAAATAACTAACTTATCTGTTTAAATGAAAATAATAGTAGAATAAGAACCTGATGCAACAGTGTTGACATAATGCATGAGGTCTGAAAAACTGTTGCAAATTATATTGGGTTGGAAAAGCTGTTGTGAAGACATTTCCAATCAGAATCCAAAGACCATCTACACTCTTGTGTATTTATGCTCTTCTTATAGAGTCTCGTTTACATGTAATGGCTCTTTTTGAGTACATATTTACAGAAAATGACACTTTAGATTCTGATGGCACTTTTTCATAGTTTTGCGATATGAAATTTCGTTTCAACCCCTCCTTCCCACTAACAAAACAACGCTACAGTTCGATTTGAGTTGTGTTGGTTTGTGTCGGTTTGCTTTGGTTTGTGTCGGTTTGCGTCGCCGAAAGTGGATGCTATTCTTACCCTCCGATGCCGGAATCCACTACTGAAATCGGAAACGGCAATTTTCAACGACACGTTACAGAAAACGACATTTCTGTTCTCGCATCGAGCGACGGTAAAATCGGAACGCCGATTGATCGATACAGATTACTTCTTACATTTCCGTTTTCGCAAGTTCCGATTTATGGCGAGTCACTGTATGGCGATGACACTTGAACAAGTATATGTGGAGATGTCCATAACCCGGTAGGAGAGAGGTATAGATTGGAACAGTGCTGACATGGATGTCTGACTATTTTAGCGAAAATAGTGGTGGGGGTTAGGCGGCGCTATATGTGGTTACGACCAAAGTACCCCAGATGTGGATTATCAGGTGAAACTATCACCTACTAGTCGCTGCGGAGACGTATCGGGGAAAGGTGACTGTATACGCTAGTACACATTGACGTTGTAAAAAATGTTAACCTTTGTATGTAAACGGTGTACTGGTAACATGTAGAGAAGACAAGGCTTCTTAGTTCAGGACTGTACATGTTGGCGAAATGTTGTCTAGATGGTTCCGACCATTTTGGTAGATATTATATGTTTGGAATCTTTGGTTTAACCCCGACGGTAAATTCCTTTAGCGATAAACGAGTACTAATTGAACTATAGAATACGGCTTATACTTATAAGACATTTATAGTTTAGGAAATAGTTGAGAGTACCATAATAAAAAAAGGACATCGTGATCTGACAGCATCCACAATTAACATGGACTTACAAAAACCAAAAAGATGGAATCCTACATAGGATGGGATGTGATAAGTACTATCTTGGTCGGATGTTCCACAGAGTGTCCAGATGTTCAAATTGGATTAGTGCATCGTAACCTGTTATGACCAGTACCGTGGCAGCGTAAATTCCAGAATCCGTAAATACCCGACCACCAGGCAAGTTAAGCTGGCCAATAACATTTACCAGGGGCGTTGTCCATTTGTCCTTGTCAGCAAGAGCAATGAAAAATTCGTTGCTAAGTGCTTGACCACATGGGAGTGTATGACTCCTGATAATAAATATAAACTATGAAGTCAAATAACCGCAACTGTGATTATAAAAGAAGATATATAAAACCAGATGGGAACCTGAATGGAGATGATAACAGGGCATGATGGAACTCTGTGAACTGTTCTTCAGATATGACCGGAAGAATGTCTAAAGGATCACGGACTGAGTGCGATGGATGCCATAGTCTGATCTGGTGATCATTCTTTTGTGGGGTTTCTGTTTGGTTTGATGCCATAGTCTGAGCCGGCGTGGTCATAGGCCGTTGTTCATGGGTCGCCTATTTTCTATTGAGGCGAGTAAAAGTTATTTGTAACCCACAAAGTGTGTACGTATATTTAACTATATGTGCTGTAGTTTACCTGGACACGTACATCCGCGGTGGTGGGATTGTCTTCACCACCAATGGGTAGCAATGGTTGCTCTACCAATGGAAGTGGTGGCAGCATTGACCGCGCACAGCCGGATGAAAGGGGTGTGACCTGATCTCCTTCCAAAGGATTTTGTAGCAATGGAAGTGAATTTGTGGATATGTAATTACATGTTTAGCAGGAATAGATCTTGGTGGACGGTGTGTGGGTAACTAGGTGGATTTGTATGTGTAGTATTATAATGATGGTCAGACAAATGGATAAGCCTGTACGCATGAGTAGTCGTGGATGTATTTATATGTCGAATTTTAAGCAGTGTTCATATTGTGGAAATAAATATGTGGATGGCCAGATGAAATGTTTACCAGGTTGGCAGGTTCAAGGTTAAATTCCTTGATGACTGTAGCTTCTATTCCAGGAGGTGGACAGTCTTGTACGTTTGTGAAGTAATCCATGAAAAGCAATTAGAATTGAATGTATCTATGTTGCGGAGCTACATTTGTAATAGCCGTTTTGGATGTCATAGCGTACCTTGGTGACATCGGCGCGTGCTTCAAGATTTATATCCTGCTATAGCACAGTAACGTTAGCAGTCATACAAGGCAAATTTATATATAAGTACAAATGACCGTTTGAAACGTTAGTTGATATGGACATAAATTAGTCAGCTTAGAAAAGGACTGGTATAGTTACCAACTACCGCAAAAAATGGATTGGTTACCTCTATATGTTCAAAATCAATCAAGCCAGCAAAATCTTTAGGCAGCCATGTGTTAAGAGAAGCAACAACATTTGAGATGCCTTCATCATTATCAATGAAATACAGGCCCTAATTTGAAACAACGGAACACGATCAACGTAAACACTCCTATCGGGGATCATTTGGAAACCTGAACTAATCTTATGTGTTACCGCTAAGTTTTGATGCTTGTCAGAAGTTTTGTGTAGACCATCGGCGGTGTTGAGGTCGGCCTATAAGCATTTCTGAGACACACAATCCGCGTAAGTCTAAACGGAAATACAACTAGGGAAGCACGTATAGATGTTAGTGAGTCTATGCGTTCAGCGGACACTACAAAACACTTTGACTCTAAACGTAAAACATATTTACTGTTTACTAAAGTATTACCTGAGCCTTGTAGTCGGTTTGGCCCTTCGGTAAACCCCCACCCTCTTGGAGCGAGATCTGAGGAGGAAAGGTATAATTAGGAAGAGTAAACATGGTCGGATTGAAAATGAATACGATTAACCGGCCACATCCAATAATATAATAACGTTATGCTATTTACCTGTTCAAACCCTGACGCAACCTTGACGGGAGTTGCGTTGGTAGATGGAGCATTTTCGGACAGGTTCAACGCCGGGGCAACGGCCAGTGCCTATAAAGTTGTTTGGCGCCAAATTCATGTGATATTGAGCATCGTTGTTGTCTAGTGGATATAACACTATGTGGACATAAATTTCGCGTACCAGGTTGTTATGTCCACGTGGTTCTTCTGTCGTAGTTAGTTCGTTATTGTGTGTCGCAATTGGGCCAAGCGCTCTAGGATAGTATTCGGTGACGCCTTTTGGCAGCTGCGTTAACGGCAAATCCTAGGATGTAAAATAATTGTTAACAGAATACCCAGCCATGTTTGCTTTACGAAACTTAAATGAGTTGTGTTGGTTTCAATACCTGACTTGAGGAACCTTCATTCTCAGAGCTGGGGTCAACAGCGTGTGTGTGTTCAGGACTCTGTCCGGAATTTTGAATTACATTGGGAATATTGACGTGATCAGTATCGGAGGTCGTAGGCCCCTTAAACAAAAAAATTATCAGACATAGAACAACAGGAT